TTTTCCTATAAAATATTATATTTTGAAGAGGAAAGATGATATTTAATTCGGTACAACTAGTTGTGAGCAACCAACAAAAGTTGGCTCAAGTGGTAAACAATTTGAGCTCGCTTAAGTAAGGTCTCGGGTTCGAGCCTCACTGTATGCATAAACTCTTGTTGGGAGACTCACCACCATAAGCCGGATGTGCGACCTGGGTCAAATCCCGATATACTCGGAGCTAAACTTCAACAAACTAGTTGTGAGCCTTATACTATAACATGTATCAAATAACATACAAAATAAGCTTAAGTGGTACTTTATAATATCAATATAATATAAAGAGTGTATGACCTTTTTAATATATTTTTCATTATTATAATTTATGATTATTTTAATGTTCATATGTACTATTTTTAAAATGATTCATTTAAAATTTTGGGAAATGTCATACGATTATAATAGTATATAACCAAAATCTATCAATTTTTTCGTTAATAAAAGAAAATATCATTTTTTATAGTTATTGTACAACTCATCAGTTCTAATATACTTATAAATAAATTAAACATACATGGAACTTTTATGAAAAATTTGTAAATTGCAGTCATTTAAAGTTCGTATTTTGCAAATTGCAGCCATTTAAAAAAAAAATTTGCAAATTGCAGCCCAAAAGTTCGTATAAATTTGTAAATTGCAGTCTGATTCAACTTTTTCATCAGTTTACATGTTGAAAAAATTTTAGTAAAGGTTTAGGGGTCATTTTAGGTCTTAGGGAACTGAATTGAGCTCGGAATTAGCAAAAAAATAACGTTAGTGCCTCGTTTTGCATAACAAAAATGTATCGATTTATGAAAAATGTAAAAATGATACATTAGGTTTTTTTTTGCTGATTCCGAGCTCAATTCGGACCCTTAATGACTAAAATGACCCCTAAAACCTTGACTGAAGATTTTTCGACATGTAAACCAATGAAAAAGTTGAATCGGACTACAATTTACAATTTATACGAACTTTTGGGCTGTAATTTGCAATTTTTTTAAAATGGTTGCAATTTGCAAAATACGAAATTTAAATGGTTGCAATCTGCAAATTTTCCAACTTTTATAGAAACTTTTATACAATATATATCTCATGATCTTATTATACTAATTAATCACGAACATAATCATTATTTCGTAAAATTTTAGACATTAGTATTAGTTTATTTTCCTTAAATGAAGGTTACTAGTTTGTGATAACATATGTATGCCACAACAAAAAAACATACCCGTGGCGCAAGTGTTGTTTTAGACACATAAATAAAAATAGTCACGACATAAGTGTTAATTTGCCACGGGAACATAATTATGTGTGGCATAAGTCTTCATTTGCCACGTGAAAAGAAAGAAGTCGTGGCACTAGTTTCAATTTGCCACGAATATTTTTCTCCCGTGGCATAATATTTTATGGGAATTTGGAGATTTTTGGTTGACTTTGTTTTCCCGTGGCTAGCTCAAATTATGCCACAAATTTTTTATTCCCTGGCCTAATTCGTGGCACAAAAGTCAATTTGTTGTAGTGTTTGGTGGTTTAAATTAGATTTTCAAAGTCACCTGTACTTAAGGTGCGACTCGAAACCCTGTCGAGTCGCCTTATAAATATTAGGCGACTCAATAGGTTAGTTTTCTTATCTACGACTCTCACCTAATGAGTCGCCTGATATTTATAAGGCGACTCGATAGGTTAAAAAGTCGCACCTTATATACAAGTGACTTTAAAAATCTAATTTAAGCCACCTTATATACAGGTTATAGAGTCACATGCATATATGGTGCGACTTGTTAACCTATCAAGTCACCTCATGTATATTAGGCGACTTATTAGGTGCTTTATTGATTTTAACCCCAACATAACAAGTCGCCTAATAAGTATGAGGCGACTCGATATGTTTACAAGTCGCACCTTATATATAGGAGACTCTAGAAGTCTGACTTGTTAGGTGCTTTATTATATGACCACTACCTAATAAGTCGCCTAATACGTAAGACGCGACTTGATGGGTTAATTCTAAAAATGTATATAAAATAGTTAAAATATCATATATATATATGAAAAGTAACTTTGGAAAAATGGAAAGAACTTCAACATTCCATGCAAAGAACCAGAGATCAAGCATGTTGAGTGTCATAAACACTGACATTATATGAGCTAATAAAAATAGTTGGAAAAAATGTTGATTTTTTACGTGTCGCCTCTTTCAACACAAGAGACACAATAGATTAACCTATGGAGTCGCCTCTTTCAACACAAGCGACACAATAGCTTAACAAATAGAGTCGCCTAACAACTAATAGGCGACTTATATAAAAGCTATCAAGTCGCCTCAGAGGCGATTCCTAAAGCGACTCGTTAGGTCATTTACAGGCGACTCGATAGGGGTTTTTTGTAGTAGTGTCAAACATATACAAACCAAGGTTTGTTAATCAAAGGACAATCAACACATTCAAACAACGGTTTTTTAATCAAATAAAAGTAAAACACATTTAAACAAAGATTTAAATCAAATGAAAGTCAAACACATTCAAATAAAGCTTTGTGAATCAAATGAAATTCAAACACATTCAAAAAAGCTTTTTGAATCGAATGAAAGTCAAACAAATTCAAACAAAGCTATTTGAATAGAAGGAAAGTCATATACATTCAAAGAAGCTAATATAATCAAAATAAAAATAAAAACAAATTAAAATTAAGCCTTTTAAATCAAACAAAAATCAAACACATTCAAACAATGCTTTTTGAATCATATGATAGTCAAAAAGATTCAAACAAATCTTTTTGAATCGAATGAAAGTCAAACACATTCAAACAATGGTTTTTGAATCGAATGAAAGTTAAATGCATTTAAACAAAGCTTTTAGAATCAAATGAAAGTCAAACACATTCAAACAAAGATTTTTGAACCTAACGAAATTTAAACACATTCAAACAAAGCTTTTTGAATGAAATGAAAGTTAAACACATTCGAATAAAGATTTTTAAATCGACTGAAATCATATGCATACAATGAAGCTAATTGATTAAAATTAAAGTCGAACCCATTCAAACAAAGCTTTTTTAATCAAATGCATTCAAAAAAAGGTTTTTTAATCAAATGAAAGTTAAATAATTTAAACAAAGCTTTTCTAATCAAATGAAAGTCAAACACATTTAAACAATTATTTTTGAATCAAATGAAAGTCAAACACATTCAAACAAAGCTTTTTGAATCAAACTAAAGTCAAACACATTCAAATATGGATTTTTTGAATCGAATGAAAGTCAAATGAATTCAAACAAAGCTTTTTGAATTAAATGAAAGTAAAACATATACAAACAAAGGTTTGTAAATCAAAGGAAAGTCAAACACATTCAAAGAAAGTTTTTTTAATCAAATGAAAGTTAAAATATTTGAACAAAGCTTTTATAATCAAATGAAAGTAAAAAACAATTAAACGATGATTTTTGAATCATATGAATGTCAAACACATTCAAACAAAGTTTTTTGAATCAAATGAAATTCAAATACATTCAAACAAAGCTTTTTGAATCAAATGAAAGTTAAATGCATTCAAACAAAACTTTTAGAATCAAAAGAAAGTCAAACACATTCAAACAAAGATTTTTGAACCTAATGAAATTCAAACACATTCAAACAAAGCTTTTTAAATCAAATGACAGTTAAACACATTTAAATAAAGATTTTTAAATCGATTAAAAGTCAAATGCATACAATGAAGCTAATTGACTAAAATGAAAGTCGAACACATTCAAACAAAGTTTTTTGAATCAACTGAAAGTCTTACACATTCAAACAAAGCTTTTTAAATCGAACGAAAGTTAAACACATTCAAACATTGCCTTTTTATTCAAATTAAAGTCAAATACATTCAAACAAAGCTTTTTGAATCAAAGGAAAGTCAAACATATTCAAGGTTTTTAATCAAATTAAAGTCAAACACATTCAAACAAAGCTTTTTTAATCGAATGAATGTCATATGCATTCAAAGAAGCTAATAATATCAAATGAAAGCTGAACACATTAAAGCAAATCTTTTTGAATCAATTGAAAGTAATAAACATTCAAAGAAAGGTTTTTGAATTGAATGAAAGTCAAATACATTCAAACAAAGCTATATGAATGAAATGAAATGAAATTCAAACGCATTCAAACAAAGCTTTTTGAATCAAATTAAATTCAAACACATTCAAATAAGGATTTTTTGAATCGAATGAAAGTCAAATGAATTCAAACAAAGCTTTTTGAATTAAATGAAAGCCAAACATATACAAACAAAGGTTTGTAAATCAAAGGAAAGTCAAACACATTCAAAGAAAGTTTTTTAATCTAATGAAAGTTAAAACATTTGAACAAAGCTTTTATAATCAAATGAAAGTCAAACACATTTAAACGATGATTTTTGAATCATATGGATGTCAAACACATTCAAACAAAGCTTTTTGAATCAAATGAAAGTCAAACACATTCAAATAAAGCTTTTTAAATCGAATGAAAGTCATATGCATTCAAAGAAGCTAATTAAATCAAATGAAAGCCCAACACATTCAAACAATGCTTTTTGAATCAAATGAAAATCAAACACATTCAAACAAAGCTTTTTGAATCAAATGATAGTCAAACACATTCAAATAATGATTTTTGAATCAAATGAAAGTCAAACACATTCAAACAAAACTTTTTGAATCAAATGAAAGTTAAACACTTTCAAACAAAGCTTTTCGAATCAAATAAGCTAATTGAATCAAATGAAAACATACCACATTTAAACAAAGCTTTTTGAATCAAATGAAAGTAAAAAACATTCAAACAAAGCTATTTGAATCGAATAAAATTTAAATGCATTCAAACCAAGCTTTTAAAATCAAATGAAAGTCAAAACACATTCAAACAAAGCTTTTTGAATCAAATGAAATTCACACACATTCAAACAAAGCTTTTTGAATCGAATAAATTCAAATGCATTTAACATAGTTAATTGAATATGTTGATATTTAAAGGTTTTGATGATGAGGAACTTGAGTTACAGCAAACTCGTCTCATAAAGATCTTTCAAGTGTTTGTGCAGCCTAGGTGAAATTGATCTTGGAGATGGAAGAAATAACTAAAGCTGAGAAGACTTGAAGGAGTTCTTTATCAAGAAAGTTATTCAATATAAAAGAAGAGTTCCCTAACAGGAACTAAGTTCCCTCACAGGAACGTTCCTTCACAGGAACTTGAAGATTGCTGACTAAGATCTTTGGAGGAACTTAGTAAGCGTGGAGTCCAAGTAAACCTACCAGAACAAGAGTACAGCGCAGCAATGTTTTAGTTAAGATTTTATCTTCTAGATTCATTGTTAAATATGTAAGTAGGATATGCATGAAACTTCTTAGAAGCGTGACAATTAGCTTGACAAATAAATTAAAATCGGAAAAGATAAAAGACAGAAATCCGAAAAAGATTTTCTTTAAATATTTATCTCTTAAATTTAGTTTGTTAAAAAGATATTATGCTTTTTAATTCAATATTTCTATCTTATTTTCTGAAAATATTTTCTTCAAAGAATTTAATTAAAAAAAACCGTGTTTTAAGATAAGTTAAGTTTTACTTATTTATCATTATGTAAACCTACTGTTTATACAAGTAATACTTGTATAAATAGTAGAGAATAACATGAGCCTAGGTTTTTGTGAGTTTTATGCATGAAGAATTTACAGAGCTATAGTCGTGTAAGTTTGCCAAGCTTATCATACTGTCATATTAGTTTCGGGTTTCATGCATAGCTTGCCTGTCATATACTAGGTGTTAATTCTTGTATTTGGTTTTGGGTTTATTAGGGTGAGAGTATTTTTATCATTGCATACAGAGAGAGCTTCTGGTGAGAAGGGGGAAGATCTGTACTTAGGGAGTACGAGAGAGTTTGAGTGTGGGACTCAGACTGGGAAGAATAGTGATTTGTTCTGTAGCAAGTTCACTTGGAAACTTGTGAGTAGAGGCTGAATTATAATAGGTTGTAACTTGGTGTTTGCCCTATTATAGTGGAAGTATTTGTGTTTGAAATCCCTAAGGTAGGGTCGAGGTTTTACTTCTAGTTGGGCACTAGAAGGTTTCCTCGTAAAATCTGTGTGCATCGCAAGTTCCTATTTTGTTCTGTTTTATATTTGCAAAATTATATTATTTAGGAACTCAACTACAATTCACCCCCCCTCTTGTAGTGTTCATCTCAATTAACAATTGGTATCAGAGCACGGTTCTCACGTGCAAGCAGATAATTTTGCTGAGTAAGTTCCTAGAGAGATGAATTACAAGGAGAAACTTGAAGAAGGGTAATCTACCCAACGTCCACCTATGTTCAACGGTAAGTTTTATGCCTACTGGAAGAACAGGATGGAGATATTCATCAAGGCCGAAAATTACCAGGTTTGCATGTAATTGAAACTGGTGATTTTGAAATAACTTAAACCAATGACAAGCATGAGGTAGTTTCTAAATCTATTTCTGATTATGATAATGAAGATTATTAGAAACTTGAAATGAACGCTTTAGCTATAAAGTATCTACACTGTAGACTTGGACCCCATGAACATAATCGTATCATGGGATGCAAGTTTGCCAAACAGATTTGGGATTTGTTACAGGTAACTCATGAAGGTACTAACGAGGTAAAACGTTCTAAAATAGATTTATTGATGTCTAGGTATGAAAGGTTTGAAATGCAATCCAAAGAAACCATAGAAGAGATGTTTACTAGATTCAATGATATTATTAATGAATTGAACTCCCTTGGCAGGCATATTTCGATTGATGAACGGGCAAGGAAGATCTTAAGAAGCCTTCCACAGGATGAACGCTGGAGATCCAAAGTTACTGCTATGCAGGAAGCTAAGGACTTCACCAAGTTTAATATGGAACAACTAGCTGGATCTTTGATGACTCATGAACTTCACCTAAGTTCCAATACTGAAAATTCCAGAAGTAAAAGTCTTGCACTCAAGGCTCAAAACTCAGAAGAATCAGAAGTTGATGAGGAAGAGATGGCTATGCTAGTTAAGAGGTTCAAGAAGATGATGAACAACAGGAATTTTGACAGGAACAAGAAGTACACAAGTTCCAGAAACACAACATGTTTCAAATGTGGATCAAAGGATCATTTTATCAAAGATTGTCCTGTTCAGGATGGAGAGAAAGGAAAGACTAAAGGCAAGGAGCAATCCAAGGAGTCAAGAGTCTACAAGCCTTACTTCACCATGGAAAACGTTAAGAAAGCCATGCTTGCTGCTTGGGGAGATACAGATTCAGAAGAAGAAGAGGAGGATCAACCATCAGAAGAAACTGCTCATTTATGTCTAATGGCAAAAACTTATGAAGCTGCCAAGCTAAAGGAGCTTAAGTCTGAGGTATGGTTCTCTTAAAATCAATTAAAACATCTGTCTAAAGAGAATCTAATAGATACTGTTTTGGAAATTCAAGAAGATCTACAAGAATTGCATAGATCCAAACATCTAAGTGATAAAGCTTTGATAACTTACAAAGAGAACAGTGAATGGGTTGATAACATGAAGTTTGACATTCAATACAGGTTCTTCAGTCTGTTTGATGACAATAAAATCCTAAAAGAGACTCTAGAGAACTTAAAACAAGATAACATACTCTTGAATGTGGAATTGTCTTTGTTAAAACTGAGTGTTGATACTCCTAACTCTGAAGTTCCTCCACCTACTGATTATTCGAATTTTGAAAAATTAAAACATGATTTGGAAGAGTTAAAAACGGATAAGGCACATCTTGAGGGGGAACTTGAGAGGGTTAGGAAAGGTAAACAACCAATAGAGTATAGAGTTCCTGATTGGATCACTAAGGCTCAAACTAAGAATACTGAAGGTTTAGGATTTAAAAAGAAGTTCTAGAAAGAAAAGAAGTATGTCAACTTGCCCAGTAGCATTGTTTGTTATTTCTGTGGCAATACAGGGCATAAGCAAGCTAATTGCCCTAAGAAAGAACAAAGCACTCAGAAGAATATCAAACATGTAAAACAAATCTGGGTAAAGAAAAATGAATCAACCCATGTTACACAGGAACCCAAGGAAACCTGGGTTCCTGACTCTAACGTTTAATTCTTCTTGCAGGTTCCAGTGAGGGGGGACAACACTTGGTACCTCGACAGTGGTTGTTCTAAGCAAATGACTGGAGATAAAACTAGATTTCTCTCACTGGATGCCTACTATGGTGGAACTGTGACCTTTGGTGATAATATGAAAGGTGACATAATTGCTATTGGCAAGATAGGAAGGTCACGTTCCCATGCTATTGATAATGTATTTTTGGTTGAGGGCCTCAAGCACAATTTGTTAAGTATTTCACAGTTTTATGACACAGGTAACTCTGTTAGCTTTACTTCAAACAAGTGTAGAATCATCCAGAATGACACTGGGAACATAATTTTAGAAGGAACTCGTAAAGGGAACACATATGTTGTGGATCTTAACAAGGTTCCTAATAGCAGTTTAACATGTCTTAGTGTTATTGAGGATGATCCTCTATTGTGGCAAAAAAGATTTGGCCATGCAAGCTTTTCTTTACTGGATAAATTAAGATCTAATAACTTAGTGGAAGGACTTCCTTGCATTAAGTTCCTGTATGACAAATTGTGCGAAGCTTGTGCTAAAGGTAAACAGACCCGAATTTCTTTCAAGTCCAAAAAGATGGTAAGTACCAAAAGACCTTTGGTACTCATTCATATGGATCTCTGTGGTCTAATGAGAATCCAAAGTAGAAGTGGTAAGAAATATGTAATGGTTATTGTTGATGATTTTTCAAGGTTCACTTGGGTTTTCTTTCTTCTAAGTAAGGATGAAACGTTTGACGAGTTTGTTGCTTTTGTCAAGAAAGAACAGAGAAGAACAGGTAATCAGTTGATACATCTTAGATCTGACCATGGAACAGAATTTGAGAATTCAAAATTTGATGAATTTTGTGCTGAGTATGGTATGGATCACAATTTCTCTGCCCCAAGAACTCCACAACAAAATGGAGTAGTGGAATGCAAGAATATGAGTCTTGAAGAAATGGCAAGGACAATGCTGATATCAAGCAGGCCGCCTAGGAATTTCTGGGCTGAGGCAGTGAACACAGCATGTTATATACTTAACAGAGTATCTGTTAGGGCCATCACCAACAAAACTCTATATGAACTTATGAAAGGGAGAAAACCTAATATTTCTTACTTTAGATCTTTTGGTTGCAAATGTTTTGTTCACAATAATGGTAAAAGAAACTTGGGAAAGTTTGATGAACGTAGTGATGAGGCAGTATTCGTAGGATATGCCTCAAATAGCAAAGCTTACAGAGTGTATAATAAAAGAACAATGTGTGTTGAGGAGTCTGTACATATTATATTTGATGAGACTGAAAATTTGGTTGATTTACAGGAGTGTGATGATGATTTCTATATTGGACTTGTGCGTAAGCAAAATCCAGATGAGGAACCAGTATCACTGCAGAAGCAGCAAGTTGAAATTGCAGAAGTAACAAATCCTGAAGCAAATGTTGAACCAGAGTTGGAGAATGCACCAGGAACTCTACTTCAAGAATAGATTGAAAATCATAATGAAGGCCAAAATGTGGAAACTCCAGAATCAAGTTCCTATAAAAGAACCAATCAACAATAATAAAGAGAGGATGTATCCAATCAAAGATTTCACTCCAAGGCCCTGGAAATATCCAAAATCTCATCCGGTTGACACAATCATGAGTGACATCACAAAAGGAACTCAAACCAGATATCAGCTTAGGAACTTCTGTGCATTCAATGCATTCCTTTCTTCCATGGAACCTAAAAATTATGTTCAGGCTTTAATTGACGCAGACTGGATTAATGTTATGCAAGCTGAACTAAATAAATTTGAAAGAAATAAAGTTTTGCATCTGGAACCTAGACCTAAAGACAAGAAGTCCATTGGACTAAAACGGGTATTCAGAAACAAACTAGATGAACATGGTATTATTGTCAGGAACAAAGCTAGACTAGTTGTACAAGGTTTCAACCAGCAAGAAGGAATTGACTATGAAGAAACATTTACACTTGTAGCCAGGTTAGAAGCTATTCGTTTACTTATTGCTTTTGCTGCTTATATGGGTTTTAGGCTGTACTAGATGGATGTCAAATGTACATTCTTAAATGGATACTTAAATGAGAAAGTCTATGTGCAACAGCCTCCTGGATTTGAAAATCCAGAGTTCCCAAACCATGTGTATAAGCTTGACAAGGCTCTTTATGGGTTAAAGCAAGCTCCTAGATCATGGTATGAAAGATTATCTAAGTTCCTTTTGGCTAATGGTTTTAAACGTGGTAAAATTGATAAAACATTGTTTTTAAAGTCAAATGGAACTGATATCTTAGTTGTACAAATTTATGTTGATGATATTTTATTTGGTGCAACTAACGAATCTCTGTGCAAGTATTTTGCTGACCTTATGAGTGGAGAATTTGAAATGAGCATGACTGGAGAATTAAATTTCTTTCTTGGTTTGCAAATTAAGCAAACTGAAGAGGGAATTATAATTCATCAGCAAAAATATATTAAGGAACTGATCAAGAAATACAAATTGGAAAATTCCAAAACCAACAATACTCCTATGGGAATTGCTACTAGATTGGATGAAGATCCATCTGGAACTTGCATTGATCAATCTATGTATCGAGGTATGATAGGTTCACTACTTTATCTAACAGCGAGTAGACCTGACATATCTTTTAGTGTGGGTCTGTGTGCCAGGTTTCAAGCAAATCCAAAGGAGTCTACTTGTCAGCAGTAAAAAGAATCCTTAGATACTTGAAAGGAACTGACGATTTGAGTCTCTTCTATCCTAGAAGTGATTCTTTTGATTTATATAGTTTTACAGATGCTGACTATGCAGGTGATTTGGTAAATAGTAAAAGCACTTCAGGTATGGTACAATTTTTAGGACCTTGTTTAGTTTCTAGGGGTTCCAAGAAGCAAAACACAGTTGCTTTATCCACGGCAGAAGCTGAATATGTGGCTGCAGCAGCATGTTGCTCACAAGTTCTATGGATAAAACAACAGGTCAGAGATTTTGGTATTATTTTTAAATGTGTACCGATTTACTGTGATAATACAAGTGCTATATGTAATTCTAAAGATCCAGTTCAACACTCAAAGGTAAAACATATCCACATTACGCATCACTTTCTAAAAGATAATGTGGAGCAAGGGAATATTAAGTTAGAATTTTGCCAAACTGAAAATCAAATTGCAGATATTCTAACCAAGCCCTTGAACAGAGAAAGATTTGAGAAATTAAGACTGGAACTTGGAATGATCAAGCTGAAGTACTAGCCTCTGAAGTTCCAAGATATGGCAAAGTCAAAAATATTGTAAATAGAGTAAAAAGAACTTCTACCACAAACTTGGTGTGATAAACATAGCTAAAGTGTCACCGTTGCTAACTACCAAAGGTAAGTTCAGTAAATTGCTCAACGGCTTAAGTTATTAAATTTGTACATTGCATACATGTTGAAAGCGTGTTCCAATTGTGTTTTATAGAAACTTCAATCAAGATTAACTGAATTTGGAAATTTAAAATTTTTGAAAGATTCATCCAGTGTTAAAATTTTGAAAAACTAATTGAATTTGTTCAATTAATGACTAAACAGTGAAAACTTCCTAAATTCTCTCACAACGCTTCATTTATTATAAAAGCAAATTTTCACCCACTTCTTTCACCTCACTGTCACATCGAATTTACTCCCTCTCAGTAATACTTTGAAAACCCCTTTAAAACCCTTCCTTAAGCTTCAATGGTGATCATTGCTGAGTTTGTTTCCTCAAAAGAATCCCAAAGTCTTGAAAACTCAATTCAAGAAGAATCATCTTCTTTAGCCATGGTAAACTACAAAGCATCTTCTACCTCTCAAACACCTTCTGAAAACCCTAAGAAATCTCCTCCAAAACCAAAAGAAGTAGAGAGTAAAATCGATCAAGGGGATTCCTCTGTCTCGAATGTTCTTCAAAAATTAAAGGAGTGGAAGGAAAGAAAACAAAGTGTGAAGTCTCTGGAAGAGAAAATTGAGGAAGTTGATGAATTTGCGAAAGAAAAGAAGCCGGAAGAGACAACAGAGGAGAACAGAGAAGAAGAAGAAAAAAGGGAGGGAGAAGAGGAAGAAAAAGAAGAGGAGAACAACCAGAAAAGGAAGAATCGGAAAAGGAAGATGAAGAAGAGGAGGTAACTGATCAAGAGGAACTTGAATCAATGGCAGGAAGGTATGTAGTAGGTCATCGTCTTGACGCTGTGTGGTGTAGGAAAGCAAGATTTTTAGAGTTTCTTGATTTAATTAAATTTCAAGGTTGGGAATTTCTGTTGACTAGGGTTTCATCAAATTACTTGTATCCTGCTACTATGAATGAATTTTGCAAGAATTTTCAGGCAAAATTGGGAATAATAACGAGCATTGTGAATGATGTAAAGATTGAATTGGACCTAGAAACTCTAGGTAAAATTCTAAAAGCTCCTACTGAAGGTTATGATACTTACTTGAAGGGAAAGGGTAGTATCAATGTAGGAAATTTCATGGTTGGGGATATAGTTGAGGAATTAGGGGGTCAGAGGGGTAAGAAGGTCATGAGTCATAATGATCTAAGCCCTCTAAATAAGCTGCTGTTTAATTTGGTGAAAAAGACTATTCTGCCTAGGACTGCTAAGAAGGGGGAGGCATGCTTAATGGATATGGATGTTGTTTCGGAGTTTTCTGATGTCCTGCGGGAGAGTTACAATTCCGAGACTGGAACCGGACGCCTGTACCTGCAAAATAACGGAGACTCCTGGGAGCTCCGCCTCCAACGGTCAAGTTAGTACTTGATTAAGGAGTAATTAATGCGGAAATTAAAGTAATTAGGTCTCTCTAGGTGAGAGTGTTTAATGTAGGTAATCTGCTTTGTTAGCGAGATCAGCTGGTTATTACTGTGTGTAATTAATGTTTTTTCGTTCTGTTTCTGTGTTTCGTAATCCCCCTTAATGAGGATTAAGGGAGGTATTTATAACCTTGGGAAACATTCCCATCCTAGGTTTAGGTTAACCTAGGGTCGATTGGGCTTCCCTCGGAAGTTGGGCCTGGGTGGCCGGTTTCCCCATTAGGCATGGAGTATGCCACATGTCATGACATAACAGGTCCAAGGTGGACGAATAAGCGCGTGCCACGTGGCAAGCCCTGACAGTTCCAACTGGGGGACACTTGGCAGGACCTGATTAGCCCACGTGGCGCATTCCGATTGGTGGGAGCAAAATCCCTTAATCATTTGCCCCTCACAGATGGCACGTGATTGGTCACGTGTTACCTGTGACAGGTGTCGCACTGTAACAGGCGGCGACCTTCCACAGGTGTCAGTCGGCGAGAGGACGAGAGATTTTCCCGCCCAAATTTTGAATTCTGAAAGTGACCCTTCGCCTTCTCACTTCGCCTATATAAGGGAGGATTGTCTTGAGTCATTTTCACACTTTGAGAACTTTTTGAGAACATTCGGACCCCTGAACTTGCTCTGACATTTCGGACCTTTTCTGCCTACCGCCTGTTCTGACAAGCTGACTGCACAGGATTTTCAGAACTTTATCAACCGTCACTCGTTCAGGTAACTGTCAGTTCTCTTACTCTTAATTTTCTTTTTTTTTTTTGAAATGGCACCACAGAAGCACACGACACGACCTAGGTTAGTGATCAGCCGGTCACCGGGAACGGCTGAATCTAGGACTAGGAGTGCCGCCTGCCCTTTTCCGGACCCATCTTTGCCCTTTATACAAAGTCCGACTGTATCTGTGTCTATGCAGAGCAGGATGGCCAGAACGAAAAAGACAGCTAGGATCTCAAATTCAGACGACTCCTCCCACAGGGTGCCGCTTAGTGAAACATCTGACCAGGCGCCAGATGTGGAAGTGAAACAAGGCGGCCTGGATGCCGGCAATTCTTTGGGGGGAGTCATAGTGACCCCTTCCCATTTAACAGTTAACAAATCTGCTCCTTTTCAAAGAGAGGAGGCGGGCCCCTCCGGGAGAGGGGAGGAGTCGTCCTCTTCGGAGGACGATTCCGAGTCAAGCTCTTCTGGCCATGCTTCTTTGGGTACAGAAGAGAAAAACAGCCGCCTGCAAGAGGCGAGACTTTCTCACGCAGTTGAGAAGGGGGACAATTGGGCGGAGCCATCCGCCTCTTACCGAGAGCTAAATACCCCCTACTATTGCACGGTACCTCGGGGCCGGATCACAGCCATGCAAGAGAAAGTGGAGAGCTTTATTGCAAACCACACCATGGGCCCTGACTATCTAGTGTTTGTGCCGGATCCAGAAGACACAGTCGTCTGGCCGGCTGGTTCCAGTTATGATAGCGCCTGCTTTGGCTGCTACGAGGCGGCCATCAAGGCAGGGCTTTGCTTCCCATTACATCCGGCTGTTCAGCGGATTTTGGATGGGTATGAGTTGGGGTTATGGCAGTTAGCCCCAAACTCCTGGGTCAACGTACTCAGCTATGTGGCCGGGTGCGAACTGCACGGGGTGGAGCCGAGCTTCGAGGCTTTCGCCCATATGAACT